ATGGCGGGGCCCCTTCCCCCCAGCCCCCCCCCGGGCTCGGCCCCCCCAGGAGCTCAGCCCCCGCCGGCCCCCTTCCCCGCATAGCCCGCCGGCCCGCCCGGCTACCTGGCGTCTCCTCCTCCCGGCTGCCGCGCCGTCCTCTTCACCTTCCCCGGTCTCCTAGCAACCCGGCGGCGGCGGCATCCCCTGCTGCTGCTGCCGGGTACCACTCTCCGAGCATCCTTCGCCGCCGTCTGCCGGCGCCGGCAGGCCTTCAGCGGCGGCGGCGGGGACCGGGGAGTCTCGAGCGAGCGAAGCCGAGCCACCCTGGGGGGAGCCACCGCAGGAGCAGCCGCCGCCCCCTCGCCCCCGGAGCCGGCTTCTCGCGCTCAGGCAGGAACCTGCAGGAGCTCCTCCGCGACGGAGAGGGCAGCAGCCGGCGGCCTCCTACCGTCCTGGGCCCCTTCGCCCGCAGCCGCAGCCAGAGGAAGCGAGCCGCCAAAGGGGCGAGGAGCGAGTGCCTGCTCTAGTCCGGCTCCGCCGCTGGAGGGCATCCCGCCAAGGGCCCCTGCCTTCTCTCGGGGGCCCAAGAGCCCCAGGATTTCCCACATCGCTTTTCAGCTGACCCAGGGCAGAATGAAACCCGCGTCTGGCCAGACCTCCAGGCTGCAGCTGGCAAGGCGCCTGCCCATAGAAAGCTAGCTTGTCAGGGAGAAGGGTACAGCCCAGGCATAGATTTGACATCTCAGGCAATGTTACGTATGCCCTGGAATAACTGTGATCAGACTGCCTGGCATGGCTTCTTTTTAATTTCCGGGGAGGGGGGCTGGATTGGGCTCTGGAGGATGAGGGATGGATGCGTATCCCGCTTCCCCAAATGAAAGCATCACCTAATGTTAGCCAGGGTAGAAAAAAAAACCCAGGTTCAATAGGCATACTTATCTCACTCTCCTGTGCACCATACCAGTTGTCCCCAATGTGCCCTCCTACTGTTTTTAGAAAGTGGGCAGGGCCATGTGGGCCTTTTCCCCAGCAAGGCTTCTGATTGGATGTGCAGGTTTTTAAATATGTTGTTTTAGCTGCAGCTGTCTCCGCAGCACGAGGATCTTCACTGTGTGACTGAAGGTAAGCAGCTGCAGCCATTTTGTGGCTGGCTCCACCTCCTATGGCAGACATTTTGGCAGCCATTTTGTAGCTGTGCTCTCCATGCTATGTCAGAATTCCAAAAGTGCCCACAGGCTCAAAAAGGTTGCGGACCCTTGCACAATACTCTGATGTTGCAGTGATCCTTTAGAAAGGGCATGACTCCTGTTAATATCATTGGTTTAGGTGCTGTGATGTCACAGAGGGACTGGGAAGACCTGGGCTAGGCAGTGAGCGCTTAGAATTATTCTAAGTTCAGTGGTGGATTCTTGTTAAATAAATCCTTTAAGAAATGACTGTAAATGACAGCATGACGGGGGAAGGAGGAAGAGCAAAAGTGTGGATACAAATGGCTTGTATTTTCCTGGAGTCTTTTAATGACAAGTGACACACAGGCGAACAGTTGCCTCTTGCAATGCAATTCCGTCTCAAAATGAACATCCAGTAGATGGGTGTAATGAACCCAGCTGCTGGATAGAAGGCACAGCCTTCTGGAGGCCTCCCGCAGAGCACCATCATCTATACTGGGCAGGTTCTCTTCTGACCCAACTTGCAGGCACCTTTGAAAGGCCCCTCCAGTTGGAGCACACATCTGGATAGCTGGCAGGAGGCAGCTTGCAGTGGAAATGACCTCAGTCCTTTCCTCTGGGACCGACTTGTCAAGTCCCCCGTTTCAAAACAGCTGGAAGTTTGGCTAAAGAGCCAAATCATGACACGCGTGGGACAGCCAGCCATTTGTTGTTTTCTCGTGTCATTCTGCTCATTATCCAAAGTGTGGTAACTTGACAACCAAATGGGCCCGTGGGTGAGGGGGGGAGAAATTTGCCTCCCTGAAGTCACTTTTCTTTCACATCTTGGTTTACAAAACCGGAAGTGAGCTGGGAGGGGAGAAGCGGCAGGTCGACGGACCCTGATTGCAGCTCTTTGCAAACAACAAGAATAGGGACACTGTTGGGGGAGCAGGATATTTTTTCATCAAGCAACCGAGTCTCCTTTAGGCCTTTCCCCGGGGTGTCTGCTGAACAGGAGAAGCCACAAGTGGAACTGCTTGTTTTTAAATCAGGGTTTTATCCTATAAGCCAGGGCTGCTCTATACAAGGAGCTGTGGGCAGTGATTATGGTAATGGCTGAGTGGGATGCTTTAAGTGAACCCCTACGAATAGACTCTGAATCTGTGCAAAGGCAAGCCCCAAGCACCCTTTGGAGAGTACATTCTTACTGAAGTGTAAAAAGAGCCTGCAATTATTGCAGAGACGGAAGGAGAGAGACGGTGGTAGCTAAACACACCCTCTCAATGCTTTTGTGATTTTCATAAGCCGAAGAATATCGTCTCCCATGACTTCCTAACCACAAGGTATTTTACTTCATTTTGTAACTAAGGAAAAATGGCAGAGCAGGTATGATTTTTGCCCAAGCCAACCAAGTTGTATGCATTTGCTCTTATAAAGCCAGCTTGTGAGTGACAAGCTTGTCAGGAGGGTTTAAGCCTATGTGTCACACCACAAAGCCCCTTGACTGAGGGTTTTTCTGCAAGTTCGACTTACTCCTGATTTTCTTGGCAGTCAATCCACAAGCATTAGAATCTGTGTGGGCATAATTCTTCCACAGGTCAGCCCTCCCTGTGCATTTTCACAGTTCTGAAGTCAGTTTATTTTCTTATGCACATGTCCATAGAATCATAGAGTTGGAAGGGATCTCCAGGGTCATCTAGTCCAGCCCCATGCACAATGCAGGAAATTCACAAATACCTCCCCCACACTCCCAGTGACCGCTGTTCCATGCCCAGAAGATTATTAAAAAAACCTCCAGGATCTCCAGTCAAACTGGCCTGGAGAAAAATTGCTTCCTGACCCCAAAGTGGCGACCAGCATTTCCCTGGGTGTGTAAGAAAGGGCCACAAGAACTAAGCACTGATTCAGCCCTTCCTGCCCTCCCTTCTCGTGATCTGCCTAAGTTCACAGAATTTGCCTTCCTGTCAGATGGCCATCTAGCCTCTCTAAAGGAGACCCCACCACCTCCCAACGAAGCCTGTTCCACTGAAGGACCGCTCTAACTGTGAGGAAGTTCTTCCTAATGTTTAGCCGAAAACTCTTCTGATTTAATTTCAACCCATTGGTTCTGGTCCGACCTTCTGGGGCAACAGAAAACAACTCCATACCATCCTCTATATGACAGCCCTTCAAGTACTTGAAAATGGTTATCATCTCACCTCTCAGTTATCTCCTTTCCAGACTAAACATGTTGTCAATAAAGAGGATTTTCAAGGGAGGGTTACTGCTGTAATCAGTGGTGACATTTTTATTTTATTTTATTAAATTTGTTAACTGCCCTGTCCCAGCTTACGCTGGGTTCTGGGCAATATACATGGGGGCATAATGCCATAAAAACATATAAAACATTAAAATTCTACAAAACAATTGAATAAAACTAAACCCCCAAATAGAGTCCATGATGATGGCGTCCTGGAACTTTCTACCCCAACTGTGGACTACCGGGCCAGTTTCTGGGCAGGGGGAGAGGGAACTTATAACAGCAATTCAGAAAGAGAGGCGGGAAGGGAGTGTGCCAGCCAAAGAAAAACCGTTGCTACCCTTAACCAAAAGCTGCAGTGTTAGAAGAGTCAAACAACAAATATATACACTGCAAAAACCTTATTTATAAGTTAAAGTGTTCTATATGTTCCATCTTATAAAGTGCATTGTGTATTATTCATAATATTCTAAAACAGGTATATATTCATTACATGCAATATCAACAATAATAATCAGTTTGTACAATCTAATAACTACCAGTCAATTTACATCCTTTTTACACAATCAACCCCAACAGGAGTTTCTAGAATTATACACCCCCTTCTCCTTGCTTGAAAGTCTTCTAAAGGGGGAAGTTTCCTTTTGTGGTTACATTGAAGTTTAAATTGATGTTTGTTGCTGGT